ACACACACACACACACACACACACACACACACACACACACACACACACACACACACACACACAGGCGCGTGCATGCGCGCGTACAAAAAAGGATCAATGTATGAATACTTCTTTTCCTATGAATCTGAAACATTATAATTTTTTTTAATTCCATAATTCGTAATATAATTTACGTTTATGAGTTATGGGATAAAAAAAAAATCATAATGATGTTTCTGACTACATAGAAAAAGAAATACATTGATTCTTTTTTTTTATGTACATGATGTGTGTGTGTGTGTGGTGTGTGTGTGTGTGTGTGTGTGTGTGTAACATTAACAAAGTACTTAATAAAACTTCATAAGTGTGAAAGAATTAACTTCAAGATATTAAATTAATAAAGGATAATAAATTGATAGCTTGGTAAAAGACATATTGCATACTAATAAATAGTAGGTTCAAAGTCATAAAAATTCAAACGTTTTTTTTTCGTACATTGAAGAAAATAATTTATAGCATTTATTTATTATTTCCAATTTTTTATTTTAATTTAAAAATTATAACTATTACACGCGCGCGTTACGTAATAGTATAATTAACCTCATAATTAATTTACAGTTGAATTTTTGTGGAATTTTTGACTATGAAAGAGATACTTGAATATGAAGAAAGCACGATGGTACCAGAAGATATTGCACGTTCTTGGTACCGAAAATCGCATAATCATTATGAGCCGGGAGAACAAATTACAAGAGAGTAAACATTATGCTAATAAGATTATATAGCTGATCAAGCAACAGATTGAGACAACAGAGATTAACCTGTCATTATATAATTGGAATTTTTTTTAGTTATAAAAAGTTTGATAAATGTATTAAATTTGGCAAACCGACCAAGGGATCGGAATCTCGGATTAGAAGAATTTTGACATGGATTAATTACGAACCGGTTACCTTAGTCAACGATCTACAAGCGGATTTCTTACAACGCACTAGATCGTTTGTCGGACAAGTCAAGTAATATATCAGTTGAACCAGCAATTGTTAATCTTGCAATATATAATTGTACAATTTATAATAGTATGATAAAAAGAGAAATGACAAAAATCTTATCAAAATCTCTTATATAACAAATCCTTTTCATCATGTGAATATATAGATAAATACAAATGTATTAATTGTTATAAAGTTTAAATACAATAGTTTTAACATTTACTACTTTTTTTATAATAAAACTAACGTTAAATTAAGAATAATATAAATGTCAAATATATTATAGTAATAACATAAGAGTTACATTCTTAATTTAACGCATAGATTTAATTTACATAGATTTGTCAGCCCGTAAAATGACGTAACTTAAACTCAGGGTTGGGTAGTAACTAGTTGAAACGTTAAAAGTTAAAACAAAAGTTAAAAAGTTAATAAGTTTTAACTTAACTTAATTAATTTTAAATGCAATAATTTTTAATTTGATTTAGTTACTTCCAAACTTTAATTTAGTAACTTTTTTAAATTAAAAATTTTTCTATCTTTCTTAATGCTAATATTCTTTTTTCTATAAAGTCTTAAACATTAGAGAATTAATTTAGAAAAAATTCAATGATTTTATGATGAGAGACTGTATAATAAGAGTCACCATACGGTAGCCAGTTTTTATTGACTCGCTAGGTTTTGTCAATTTGTCAATTTTTGCTTGTATTTGAATCACACTAATTTTAGGTATCACAAACGTTATATTTCAGCAACATAAATATGAAATGAATCTTAGATGAAGAATTGTTGTAGAACAGAATTGCACATCCACCCATTTTCGAAATTTTTACGTATATTTTTTGTAACAAATATCTAGTCGATGTAGTCGTAAACATGCATGAACAGTCGTTTCAGAAGTTAAAGAAAATTAGATAAAGGTTAAAGAAAGAGAAATAATGTAAACATATACCCTTCTCTCTCGCAAGATTTTAACAAAAACACCTTATGGTGTGATTCTTATTATATATAACTTATATATTATATATAACTTACATGTGAATATAAAATTAAATTTGCCTAATAATCTATATATTTGTAAGGGTTATTTAAAGTAATCTCACATTTTAAGAAAAATTAAGACATTTTGATCTCAAAAATAATTTTTTTCAAAATTAACTTTTTTTTAAACTTAAGTTAATTTAATCTTAACTTAACTTTTGTTAAATTAATTCTTTATTCCTTCAACTTTCAACTTAATTTTATAAGCCATTAACTTTAATTCTCTCTCTCTCTCTCTCTCTCTCTCTCTCTCTCTCTCTCTCTCTCTCTCTCTCTCTCTCTCTCTCTCTCTCTCTCTCTCTCTCTCTCTCTCTCTCACACACACACACACACACACACAGTTTAAAAAAAACATTAACTTATCCAACCCTGCTTAAACTTTAAATAATTTTAATAAACTATATCAATACAAATATGATCTTTTTTCTTTTTTTTATACTAGCTACATAAGAAGACTTGAATTAATTAATAAAAAAATTAGTTTAAAATTAATTAGTAAAAATGATAAATTTCTTTGTGAAAAATAATTACTAATTTGTAATTCAAGAGCTCCAGAAACATCGCGTCTTTATGCAGATATCGTACACGGTAAGAAGACTGTTAAAGACGAATTAGACAAACAAGTGCTTTTCTGGGAATGTTTGCAAGATTTACATAATTTCCGTCGAAAACTCAAAAAGCGTATACAGGAAGTGCCGTTCTTAGCCATAGAAGATGAGTTTTTTTATCTAGACAAAGTACATATGTCTCTATATATTTATTAATATATCTAAATATATCACATGTACATGTATTATATGTATGTCATTAACTATTATGTATTTGTTATAAGAAAAATTCATATTAATTTATTATAAGTTCGCACTTAAATATAAATGGAATACTAGGTAAATCGTTAATCAAATTAATCAAAATTATACGATTTACACATTTCATCACAAATCATATTCTTATAATTATAAAATTTGAATACAGGAATACGTCGGAACTCTACCTGAAGATAAGATTTTCCTGATTTTCGAGAAGTATCGCATATATCCAAATAAGAAATTTTTTGTACCATTAATGGACATGTTGCAATTGCGCATAGATGGAAATATTAATTATAGAGAAATGCTGAATCTCTTGAACTGGAAGCGCAGCTTACCCGTTCTACCAATAATTAAACGTAATTAATCAATAATTTTTGTAATATTCTAAATTCTCAAAATTAAATTAGAAAAATTATAAATGATACATCTTCGTGTGATAATTAATAACAATAACTAATTTTAATGTAATAATTTCAAACGTATTTCAGTTTTGATTTTAATTTTTAATTTAACTTATAGTAATACAGCAATGATATATTAAAAAATATTATTTTAGAAGCACCAGTGACGAGTCTAGATTGTACTACGTATAATGACAGCATAAAAAATATTCAGACAACTGATAGCGCAAGTAGGGTTTATATCTCTCGATCTTAAAAGTATTTCTCTCAAAGTGATTATTTGAAATATGAAATATAAGAAATATTATAGAAGTACGTGCGGCAGAACTTCCAACTGAAAGATCAGATTTTCTGGTAACAATGTTACCGCGCGCTGGATTACATCCAGATAAGAATTTGGGCGATCAAACCTCCATCCATTGCTTAATATCGCCTAGTATATTTACGAGATACGGTTTGACACATATAGATTTTTTTAAGGTGAATCGCTTGATTTCATATTATCTAGTTATTCTATTGTTTAAATATTTTTACTCTTAATTCGGTATAAATTGTATCCGAAGATTTTGTCTCATCCAAAAAATTTGCCAAAATTCCTAGCTATAAATATTAATTTATACATTATTTTATCTAATTATTCCATTATATTTACATACTATTCTATTCTATTATAAAAATATTAATTTATATTTACAAAATGTTATATAGATGCGCGACAAGAAAGAAATACGAAGCATATTCGAGAACATCGGTTTCGAATTTCCAGAGGAGAGCTTTGATACACTTTGGCAGAAAGGAATGCAGAAGAATTGCACCGATGGTATGTGCGTTGAAACATTTCGAGAGTTGCTTGCCGCGTCAGGTTTTGTGGCAAAGAAAATTACATGTGACTAAATGCATACAAACTTTTCATCTTGAAAGATCTATATATATAAAGAGACTTGTAAAGAAAAATATAAATTGCGTATTTTAAGTGTGATAATTACTAACTAAATATTATTGAAAATAATAGCTATGTGATCTTCAACAATCATATTAAAATAATATGATCATTTAATAATAATCAGTTTAAGTTTTATCAGATAAAAATTTATGCGAGCATCAAATATACAAACTGTACAATATATTTATTTACTTAATATAAATAAAATTATATGCATAATTATAGTATAATTATTTACAATGCAAATTTAATCTACAGGTTTCAAAAATTTCGGTTTTTTACTTAATGGTTCGTCTTCATCATTTGTTTTTATATGTTGCGGTTTTCTGTGTCTGTTTATAGTATCAAATTTTGCTCGCATTTTCGTCCATTGAACAGCCATTTGTTCATCAGATATATCGGCCTCTTGTTTTACATCTTCATTGGCACGTTTAGCATTCTCCTTTGCTTCCATTAATTTTTCTATAGTTGGATTCATCCCTTGAAAGCTCAATCTACCATCATTAAGTTTCTCGCAAAAAACATAGCTCGATTCCATAAGAAATTTTCCACTTAAACATAAAATAGAAGTAATTGATCACAGCAATATTTTCATAAGGAAAAAAATATGAGTCTTCAATATACATATTTCAAAGTACAAAATATCCAAAAATTCATATTATTATTTTAATTTACATAATTATTAATCTAAATATAAGGCTAGTTGAAAAAAATAATAGAAAGTACTTACGATGCTTTTTTCATACGTGATGTAAGCTCGCTGCCGAAGTATTCCTCTCCTTCTTCTTGAAACTGCTCTTTCTCCACTTTGTCTTTTGTGCGTTTCATGAACTGCGAACAAACGTTATTTATCATCGTTTTGACGTCAAAATAACAACAAATAACGTGAAATAACATTGCATGTTTGGTGGAAATATTCTATTTTCCACAAACTTTTTCAACTCACCTTCATTTCTAATATACTCTTTGACAGAGTAATTTTCTTTGAATTCATGTTTATGTTTAACGATTAATATCTTGGACACGGAAAATAACAGTAATACCTCTCAAGAGACAGTCAAAATGTAAAAAACTGATAATTCTCCTCAAAGAATAGTCAAAATTATGAAGAATTTCTTTAAGTGATCACGCACATGTCAGTAACAAATATCATACACAACATGTAAATCACCATTTACACTATAAACAAGGCAAACCTAACCTAACTTTTCTTACAGTAGCGACTTTGACGGGAACCTGCATTACTATCATAACTATTTTGAAGAATTCTATATTATCAACCTTACTTAATTGTTATCATAAATTTTATTTATCATATGAGTGTCGTCGACATGGCAATAATTTTCTTTACCTACGGACGGAGATACGTATATCGACCGCGTTCGACTTTCCAATCGTTTACTTTCCGAATCATTCCGAACTACCGCATAACGGTGATTTTTGTTGGCTTGTTGCCCTGGCTGGGGCAGGACGATCAACGGACTGGCGTGCTTTCTGAACGACTCCACGATTTTCGTCCATGAAATCGCGAAAGATGCAGAGGTCCGCGACGACCGAGCCAAGACACGAGGCACAGTTTGTCGGAGAATGATGTCGTAGCAGCGAGGTCGTGGAAGCGAGGCACGAATAATCGTAGAAGGTGGACGTAGCAACGGCAGCGGAAACAGTTTAATCGCTTGTACTAAGGTATATCCGCGCCCACACGCCAGCTCGCGCGCGCGAAATCAATAATAACGGCATTATTCCAATGCTATTATTTCATTTCTCCAGAGCTTCGTAAATTGGAAAATTTTAGTAACGTCTATGATAGTCCCCACGCTTCTCAGTATGACGAATTCCATTCTAATTATGTATCGTTTGCTCAAATTTACTTCCACTTGCTACATTGTAGGCGTGACAAAACGAGACGACATCTTAGGAGTCGTCGACTTCGATATTATAAAGTTATTTTTATTTCTTGTTTTTGTACACATATTTTTCAAATCGTGCTTGTCACATGTTGGCCATTAATGTTTTTATTACTGATGACTCACCTGCAACGTCTATGTGGATTTCTCTCTCTTTGATAAAGACATAACCTCGTAGAAGTTTTTCATCTTTTTTTTTTCTGAAACTAATATTATTGTACTAACTGTATTTACATCGAGATCTGATGTAAATATAGCACTTTTCTTAATTGATTTATATACTATGATAACATACCACATGTAGGAACTAGAATAATTATTTACAGAATATATGATATTCTATACACTAGAAAATATTGAACAGCATAAGCTTTTACTTTAAATAAAAATATCTCAATGTTCTAAATAAATAATTATTTTGTTACTATTTATGCTTGACAGACACAGCACTGCGTGCAAAGATGTCGAAACGACCCCCAGATAATGGGGACTCCAGTTCCCAACCACCTATAAAGAAGGTGCAGTTTGAACCAATTTTAATTGGACCCATATCTACTCTCGAAGAGATGGACATGAAGGTTTTACAGTTTCAGAATAAAAAGCTAGCACAGGTATATGAAGTTTACATTGCATTTATACTTTTATTACTTTTAATAAATTGATTTGTAATTGTAGATAAAGATAAGGATTAAACTGTAATAACATGATGCACATAATTGTATATAAAAAAATAATATAAATAAGAAAATAGTTATACAATTCTGTACTGTTGAGTAATTTTATTAAAATTATATTAATTATATATAAAAATATAATTTATACAAGGATGACATTTGCTATTATTGCAGGAAGTTATTGAAACTAAATTGATATTATTTTTCACTAAGAATATAGAATAAAACAAAATATTTTTTGCCAAATTAATTTTATTTTGTTCATTACGAAATAAAGGATTTAGATTTGATTTCTCAATTGTTATCTTGTACGTATACATATTACATATATATTTTTGTATATACTCTAAAATTTAAGAGTATACTATTATAATTTGATATAAATTATACTTTTATACATATATAAATTGTATATAAATTATTCACATTATTATATAATTTTTAGTATGTACCTATTCTTTTTCACGTATAATTTACTTATTCCAGAGATTGGAGCAAAGGCATAGAATGGAAGCTGAATTGAGACAACGTATTGAACAATTAGAGAAACGCCAAATGCAAGATGATGCAGTACTTAATGTAGTTAATCGATATTGGAATCAACTCAATGAAGATATACGTGTATTATTACAAAGATTTGATGCTGAAACTGCCGATGAATCTGAAAATAAAAGTAAGCTTTGAAAAAAAGATGCAAACAATATTTTCTGCGATAGAGTCAACAAAATGTTTTTCTTTTTAATTATAGACGAGAGTGAGGCTACAACATCATTTCTAATGCAATTATCTTCCTGGGATAAAGAGGAATTGGATGACAAATTAGCAAACCGTGTACAGGTATCAAAACGAGCTGTGTCTAAAGTTGTACAAGCATTTGATCGTTTATCTCAAAGAAATGAAAAAATCACTCTTGCGCTTAAAGGAGAATTTGATGGCGGTAAGTTACATCTAGAATTTGTTTTGAGATTTCAAATTAATGTAATATACTCGAATGAATTGATATATATATCTTGTTTTAATTTGCGATAAGATTCAAATTTTTCCACAAAATCTCTAAAGAACTTTATGGATATATATATAACTTGCAAAAAATCGTACATTTTTATAATTGAAGATTATAAATCGTATTATATAGAAGAGGCACCGAACATGGACGAAGTTGTACGTCGTGCCAATGCTGAAATACAAATGGAAAACAGAAATCTGCAGGCGATAAATATACAATTGCATGAAAAATATCACACTATCTCATTGAAGGTAATTGATTTTTTATTTTATTTATATTTAATTTTCTACTTTTTATGTTATCGATTATATATATAAAACTATTATTTGTTATAAATAGATTATAAGTTACTTGAAATAAAGAAAAGGGAGATTATTATGAATATTTTTAAACATCAAAAAATTATCATTAAGCATAAGATTTTGTCCTGGTAGGGTGTTTGATATCTAGAAAAACCTGGAATAGAATTTTTAGAAGATTTGTTATATTAAAATATTAGGAATTTTTATGAAATTTGTCGATACAAACGGATATTTTTGGAATTTTACTTATTCTATCTTTTTCTGATAATATTGTTTTTTTAATCATTTTATTCGGTAATGTATAATGTTGATAATTGGGCTTTGCATTTTCGTATGTGTGTCTCGCGAGTTTGTATTTAAAAAATCAGGTAACAATTGAAGACACTTAGCAAAAGAAAGTAGCTTACTGATACTGTAGTGAGTCTTTCCTATACTATCTCTAAAATAGGTTTCAGAGCTTCAAATAGAAAAGGATAGATACAGTCTCGTGGAATCTTTGTCTTCTACTAATTTATAATAATTTGTTTGCATTACTAGGATTCCAATTTATTTCAGAGTTGTATTAAAAAAATTGTCTTATTTTACTTGGAATATTGAACAAAAATACCTAGAAAATCTAGGAATTCTCAGGGAATTTTACAAGATTTTAGTAAACACCTTACTTGGAATGCCGCATGGCTTCATGTGAGAGTTAGATTTGTAATTAGCTCAGGTTTGATTCTCTACTCTACACATAAATTTTTATTGAAAAGTTTTAAGAAAGGAGACTAATTTAGAAAGTCAAGGCTCGAATTAAATTGTAACACCATTTAGTTTTTTTTTTATTTATTTTTAATCAAAAAAGTCAATATTTATTTATTTTGGATATTTTTTTGTAGATGTCAGAATTGCAAGATACAATAACAGGAAAAGATACGCTTGCAGCAGAATTACGAAATCAAGTCGACGATTTGCAATACGAATTGAACAAAGTACGGGCGAGAAATGATAAATTGGAACATCATCTTGGAGAAGCAGTCGAAAAATTAAAAGCTTTTCAACAAATTCATGGCGCTGATGAGAAAGGCAGTAATAAACCGAATACTTTAGTTGCATCTAGTGTTTCACAGACTAAGGTAAAAATTTTATTTTGTTTTATATAAAGATACGAGCATAAATTTGAGTTTAATATTACAATACTAATACTTTAATATTAC